AACCTTTATAATTTCTTTTGTTTTAGTGATTGTAGGCTTACTTTGCTGCTCTTTTTATAACTGTTGAAGATGTTTAGTTAAGGTATTGCTTTTGGTTCTTTCTTCTTTTTGGATATGTACATTTATTACTATAATTTGCCCTCTGGGCACTGCTTTCGCTGTGTTCCAAAGGTTTTGGTATGTTGTGCTTTTGTTCTCATTTAACTCAAGTAATTTTTATTTAACTTTTTATTTGATCCAGTAGTTTTTAAACAGGATATTGGTCAATTTCCATGTATTTTTTCTTGATCTTTCCTATTTTTTATTTCTAATTTTATAACACTGTGATCTGAAAATATGCTTTGTAAAATTTTGATATTTTTAAATTTATTGAGGTTTGCTTTGTGTACTAACACATGGTCTATGCTGGAGAATGTTCCATGTGCACTGAAAGGAATGTATATTAAGCTGTTGTTGGGTTGAGTGCTTTGTGTATATTTATGAGGTTGAGTGGTTGATTGATTGTGTTGTTTAGTTCTTTTGTTTTTTTCACTTTTACACAAGTAAAACATTGTAACCTACACAAAAATATAACAACAATAACCATATCAAATATTTGGGATTTTTTTTTTTCATGACACCTACTCAGTTATCCTTTTTAAAATGCAGTAATTGCTTACCTAGCAAGCTTGTAAACGTTTTTGGTTCACATCATAATATCCCTAAATAAATTAAGACTCTCTAGCTGGTATCAGGACTCCTGGTGCGGCACTGTAAGATAAACGCTGGACTCTGAACCACAGGGTAGGTATTTCAAACTCACCAGCTACTCCTTGGAAATCCAATACAAATCAGAACTGAATATATGGCTCTTAACAACAAAAGAACAAGCTGACAGCAGGACTAAAGGGGACTCATTAACAACCTAAGATATACAGATGACACATCCTTATTTGATGGAAGTGAAGAAGTATTAAAATACTTACTAATGAAAACCAAACAGCACATTTTCCAGTATGGATTGTACCTCACTACAAAGAAAACAAAGATCCTCACAAACAGACAAATAGATAACATCATGATATACAGAGAAAAGATTGAGGTTATCAAAGACTTCAATTTGCTTAGATCCACAATCAACATTCATTAAAACCGCAGTCAAGAAATCAAAGGACATATTGCTTTAGGCAAATTTGCTGTAAAAGAAAGACCTCTTTAAAACGTTCAAGAGCAAAGATGGCACTTTGATGAATAAGGTGTGCCTGACTCAAGCCAAGGTATTTTCAGTCCACCTCATATTCATGTGAAAGTTGAACAATGAATCAATCAAGAAGACTGTAGAAGAGTTGTTGACAAAGAATACCGAAAGTACTGTGGACTGCCAGAACAAATAAATCTGTCTTGGAAGAATGCTCCATGGACGTGAGGCTGGTGAGATTTGTTTCTCATACTGTTGTCAGGAGGGAGGAGCACATAATACTTGGTAAATTGGAGCATCATTGAAACAGAGGAAGACTCCCAGCAAGATGGCTTGACACAGTGGTAGTAATAATGGGCCACAAATTAAAGTGTGATTCATTATTGAAGGACTGCAACAATGGGCTCAAACCTAACAATGGAGAGGATGGCACAGGACCAGACAGTGTGTCACTCTGTTGTGTGTAGTATCACTTTGAGTAGGAAGTGATTCTACAGCACCTAACAACAACAACAACAGCTTTCTTTAATTTTCAGAAGATAGAACCAAGTTGAATGAAGTAACATTAGGGCTGTTAAAAATGGAAAGATTCTACTTTTCTTCGTATACATCTAATTAAGCAATGAAACAACAACCTGACCTAGAAGCAGCCTATATTATTACCTGAGGTTGGTCAAGCAGTACAGAACTGGTATGACTACATTATTTCACACATGGCTTATTTTCATGACGTGTTTTGTTGTTTGGACTGTTATCACAAAATAGTAGATCATGTGGACTTTTGGAATTGACGTATCTTACTACCTAATCTAAGGAGTCTTGGTGGTCAAGTGGTTAAGCAATCAGCTGCTAACCACAAGACTGCTCAGGAGGAGAAAGATGTGGCAGTCTTCCTCCGTAAAGATTGTTATTGTTAGGTTTTTAGGTGCCATTGAGTTGCCTACAACTCATAGTGATCTTGTGAACAAAACAAGGAAATGTTTCCCAGCCCTGCACTATACTTACAACTGTTGTTTGAGCCCATTGTTGTAGCCAGTACAATCCATAAAGATTACAGTTTTAGAAACTATAAAGTAGTTCTTCTGTGTTCTATAGGATCGCTATGAGTAAGAATCAATTGATGGCAACATTTTTTGTTTGTTTTATCAACTAATCTAAATAGGAACTAAAGGAGTCCTGATAGTGTAATTGTTAAACACTTGATTGCTAACCAAAATGTCAGTTGTTCGAGCTTACCTGGAAGCTGCACGGGAGAAAAGACCTGTAAAGATTGTTGGTGTTATTAAGTGCCATGGAGTCAGTTCCAACTCCTAAGGACACTGTGTAGGGTTTCCAAAGACCGGCTGGTCGGTTTGAACAGTCAACCCTGTGGTGAGCAGTTGAATGCTCATCCTATAGTACCACACCAGCCTAGAAAACTCTATGGAGCAGTGCTACTTCGTCATGTGGGGTCACTATGAGTAGAAATCTGACCTGACGACACCTAATGATAACAAGTCCTGGCGCTGTGAGGTAAAGCACTGGACCTCAAGGTTGGTTTGAAACACAAGGCCAGCAGTTCAAACTCACTAGCAGCTCCTTGGAATCCCTATACAGGGTCACTATCAGTCAGTATAGACTAGACGGCACTTAACAGCAATGATAACAAACAGAATCTACGAAAGAATGGAAACCAATGTTCAGTGGTTTTGCAGATAATTTTCTTCCTTCAGATTTAAGTTATTATTTTCCGTCCCCAAAATTAATGATAAAAAATTCTTTAAATGTCATTCTACTGGACAGTGTGAAGATAGAGATCAGTAAGATTTCCATGTACGTTGAGAGTTTTTAAAGAAACCTCTGTGTTGGCCTGTTCTAAGACTCATATTCTGCCTTCACTTTCTAAAACTCTTACCTGTACATTCTATTCTTGCCACTACCTGTTGAGAATTCCAGGAAAATGTTAGTGTTGAGTGAAAAGGCAGTTTGTATTTTTTATCTGCAGAATCTATGGAATGCTTTAGTAAGTTAAACTCTGATTAGAAGTTGCCTCTGGGGTAGGATACGAGGTCAGAGGTAGGAGGGAGACTTTGCTCCTTTTGAATTTGAGTACCATGTTATGAAGTAGTTAATTTGAATAAAATTTTAAATGTTTAAACTTTAAAAATAGAGTCAATCAGGCAAATAAAAGCAATGAAAAGATATGGTAGACTGCTTTTGAAAAGATTTATAGCCTTGGAAACCTTATGGGGGGATTCTACCGTGTCCTATGGTTGTTGTTACGTTCCTTTGACTCGGTTCTGACTCATAGCGACCCTGTACAGGGTTTCTGAGGTGTAGCTGGTGGATTTGAACCACCAACCTTGGGGTTTTCAGTCTAGTGCTTATTCTACAGCATCATACCAGGAGTGCTAGTCATCAGAATTGACTCAAGGGCAGCGGGTTTTTGACGTTTTTGAAGGGTTCCTGACTAGTGCAAATGGATAACACACTCAGCTACTTTCCAAAAGGTTGAAAGTTTGAATCACACATCTCAGAAGAAGGCCTGGCCATCTACTTCCCAAACATTCTGCCAGGGCATAGCCTGAGAAGCACAGTTCTACTCTGACACATGATGGGTCACCATGTTGTTGTTGTTGTTATTGTTGTTAAATGCTGTAGAGTTTATACCAACTCACAGTGTTCCTGTATAGGGTTTTCCAGAAGCAGCTGGTGGGTTTGAACCACGGCTCTTGTGGTTAGCAGTGTAGTGCTTTTCCTACAGTGACACGTTAGGACTCTTGGATCACCATGTTGGTTGTTGTTGTTATGTGCCGTGGACTTGGTTTCCACTCGTAGCGACCCTGAATAGGGTTTCCGAGGCTGTAAATCTTTACAGGAACAGAAAGCCTCATCTTTCTCCTGTGGAGCAGCTGATAGTTTTGAACTGCTGACCAAGATATTAGCAGCCCAATTCGTAACCACTACGCTACCAGATTTCCTTGGATCATCATGAGTTGGAGTCAAATTGATGGCAACTGGTTTTACTGATTTATAAGTGGAAAAGGCTACCTCCATTGTATGTATACGTGTTTCATGAATGACTACTCTGGCAGGATTTGGATACAGACACTATCCTTACATTCTTATTGTTGCTGAGAACATCTTCTCCTTCCTCACTCCACTGCCCCTAATTGTTGTGGGCCCACACAAGTGACCTTATCCTTTTCCTCCCACATCAACATTCCAGATCTAACTCCTGGGTTCCAGTATTGATTTTGTGGTGAGCTCTGTGGACTGGACTGGGGCAGGCAGTTAGAGGGGGAGGGGAGGGTGAAGAAGAAGAAAAATAGGTGAACCCAATCCAGTCTCCATTCCTTATTTACTTCCTCTTTCAATACAATTCTGGTTTTTGTTTGTTTGTTTGTTTTTAAGTTTTTATTGTTAATTGAGTGATAGTTTACATGGGAGAACATCAGCGTTATACTCATCCTATTGTATTTCATTTCATCACAATGACTAAAATCCCCTCCATGCATCATCATTCAACAGCTTTTGTTTCCATTCCCTCTGGTGTTTTTTTTTTTTTTTTTTGGATGTACACTGAAGCATACAGTACAATTCTTGCATAGGATCATGCATACAAACAGAAGACAACATCAAAAGTCTCTTCCTGAGTTATGAAATGACTTCAGTCAAATTATCTAAAACTTTATTCAAAATAAGGTAGGCAACTTAAACAAATGCTAAAGTCATTTGAACTGCAAGATTGGCAGTTCAAGCTCACCAGCTGCTCCTCAAAAGCTATGTGTCAGAATAGACTTGACAGCACTTAACAACAACAACAACCACCTAATCAACATACCTTAACAAAGCATTTGAGAGTTGAGCAAAATGATATCCCAACATCAGCAATACTCCAACCGTCCTTTAGGGCTGCTCCAGCATACATCAGCTCCAGATACCGCCTGCCTTGTTTGTCTTCAGAAAGTGGAATGTGGAAATAATCCTTAAAATCAATAGCATATTATGAAGACAGTACATCTCCACTTTACTAGACCAACAACATAATCCCTTGCCTTTTACATTTTTTCACTGAGCATAAATTCTGGGGACAGAGGGAAGAAGTAATAGACAAGGGCTCTTAATGATCTAGTGCTGCTTTAACAGAAATATATTCTCTCATAGTATTGTTATTGTTGTGTGCCATCAAGTCGGTTCTGACTCATTGTAAAGTGATTCTGACAGTAGCGAGAGGGTTTGGACTTTTGACCTTGTTATTACTAATCCAGTGCTTATCCTACAGTGCCACACTTGGGCTTACAGTGTGGTGGTGGTGGTGGTGGTGGTGGTGGTAGTGGTTATGTGTCGTTAAGTTGGTTCCGAGTCATAGTTAACCTGGATCGGGCTTTCTGAGGCGGTAAAGCATTATGGGAGCAGAACGTCTTGTCTTACTTCCACAGAGTGACTGGTAGATGGAGCTGCTGACCTTGCTGGTAGACATAATCCACTGTTTGTAATCCACTTCACTACCAAGGCTCCTTGGGCTCACAGTGTGTTGTTGTTGTTGTTAAGTGCCAGCGAGTCGATTGCGACTCATAACAATGCTGTATAAGGTTTCTGCGTAACCATTGGTGAGCTTGACCTGCCAACCTTGTGGTTCAAACTGACGTTGCTGTGGAGTGCTTATCCTACAGCACCACACCAGGACTTCACAGTGTAAGGGACTAGAAATCTGAATTCAAAGAGCTAGCTCTAGGAGAAGACTTTCTCTCTGTCAGCTCTGGGGGAAGGTTCCTGTCTCCTTTCCACATCTATGGGCCCAGACTTCCTTGGAGACCTCCGTGTGTCTTGGCATCAACGTCCCCTGGGCCGAGATTTTCAGTGCAGGGACCTTAAATCCAAAGGACATGCTCCACTCATGACTCTTCTTTCTTGGTGGTACTGAGGTCTGTCCTCTGTTTGCTTCTTATTCCTTTTATGCCCTGGTAGCATAGTGTATTATGAGCTGGGCTACTAACCACAAGGCCAGCAGTTCGAATATACCAGGTACTTCACCGGTGAAAGATGAGGCTTTCTGCTCCCATAACGATTTACCATCTCAGAAACCCTATACATGGTCGGTGTGAGACAGAACCAATTCCACGGCACACAACCACTACCACAAAATAAAACGTGATGCAGGCCACACCCCAGGGAAACTTCCCTTACATTGGACCAGGGCTGTGACCTCAGTAAGGGTGTTGCACACCACACAAATCCCCTTACAACTTATTGGTAGGTCCCATCAGATTACATCATGAGGGAATGAATACTTCATTACATAACTGCTAAACCACATCATTATACAACAGCCAAAGCACTGAGGATTATAACCCAGCCAAGCTGATCCGTATTTTGGGGGGCGGATACAATTCAATTCATGATAGGATCTGAACTTGGAAGTCTAGAGACCTCCCCCAAATTCTGTTAATAGAGTTTAGATGAGGAAAATCACATTTTCATTTTCATTAATCTTAAATGAAATGAAGATTTCCTGTAATTAGGTGACAAACTAAAGGAGCAGTAGTCAGTCATGCTTGTAACGTTACCGCAATAGGCATCACAGACATTTTTAGATCACATTTCATTATTGGTGTAAGTGTCTCAAAAGATTGTTTATACTGATCACTACTATGAAACTACAAGTTATTAGATGTACCTTTAGAACTTGTGAGTTAATGTGTTAATAAAGAAACCCAAGTATCACTTGGGAATCCTGGTATGGAACATAGGGTAAGCATTGGACTGTTAACCAAAAAGTCAGTGGTTCAAATCCACCAGCTGCTTCTCAGAAACCCTATCTATACAGGGTTGCTATGAGTCGGAACCAACTCCAGGGTACTTAATAACAACAATAGCAAGTGTCACTATATCATATATTTGCTTTTTAATATTTAAAAATTGTATCTCAATACAACTGGTCTGGTTTTCATCCTATGTATTTTATTTTGTATATTTAAAGACAAGAAAAAGGAGTCCTTAGGCCTCACCAGAATGATAAAGGTATCTGTAGTACATAAAGGTGAAGATGTTCTATTTTGGAAGGTCTAGATTTGAGTGAGGAGCTCTGATAGCGTAGTGGCTGTGACTCGCAAGGTCAGCAGTTCAAAACTACCAGCTGTTCTGTGGGAGAAAGATGAGGCTTTCTGCTCCCGTAAAGATTTACAGCCTCGGAAACCCTGTTACAGGGTCACTATGAGTCGGAACCGACTCCACGGCTCATAACCACCACCACAGATTTGAGTGATCACTGTAATCTACTGATTATCACATAGCTCCAGTGAATTCTCCTTAGAAAAATACTTAACAATCCATGTAAAATGCAATTTGATATTTAAGATCCAAATATTTGACTTAATTAATTTGGCCTAATTCCCCATGTTGAATGAATATTTATAAGGAAGATTGTTGTTGCTGTTAAGTGCTGTCAAGTCGGTTCTGACTCATAGCAACCCTGTACAGGGTTTCCGAGGAGCAAGCTGGTGGGTTTGAGCTGCTGATTTTGTGGTTCAAAGTCCAGTGCTGATCCTACAGTACCACACCAGGAAGAGTCTACTGCACTTAAATTGTTTCCTATTCTGGCGCTATGATCTAGGTATGATGCTCAGTTTCTGGGCTTCAGTTTCTCCTGGTTGCAACAAAGCAGTGACCCAGAAATATGTTAATGTCCTTTGTCCTTCTATAACTTTTTGGTAGATCTGAAGACAGACATACTTCCCTTAGGTAGCTTTGAGTTAGTGTCTTGTTTTTGTCCTTTTATGAAGAATTACAGGAGTCCTGGTGTAGTGCTGTAGGATAAATTTTCCACCACAAGGGCAGTTTGAATTGCAAGGTCAGTGGTTCAAACTCACCAGCTGCTCCTTGGAAACCCTGTACAGGGTCGCTATGAAACAGAACTGACTCAACAGAATTTAACAACAACAACCTGGCCCAGATGTTTGGCCCACAGTTTCCCCAAAGAGAACTGAAACTTTTTCCCCTCAAGAATTTGCTGGCTTAGTTTGCTTTCCTTTCCAACACCTCCATAGTTACTATTTTCATATCAAGCTATTGTGTAAGCAGATTATTGTTTTCAGAGTTTTAGTTTCCTGTTGTCTTGTTGTTAGGTGCCATTTGAATCCATTTTTGGCACACTATAATAGATCCAATAGTATCTCTCCCCCATGTACATTTTTAACTTGTGATAGAGTTAAAATTAATATACATTTTATTGGCTCTAAGACAAAGTACATACCTTTATCATCAGCTTGACAGTTTCCACGGTTTCATCTGCTGAAACATCAAATGGCTCAAAAGATCCCTCAAAGGCTATGAAAATCCTCATTGTACAATTGCCTTCTCAGAAAATTCCTTTTTCAAAGATGCTGATGGATAGTTGGAAATCTTCCAATTCAAGGATAAAAAATGTCAGCCAGAGATAGCTTTCATTTTTAACTGCTAAAGGTGAGGTGAGAGGAAATGAGGAGACAAGTCCTGCGCTATCACAGTCTCAAGCAACACAGACAGCACCGATGTTGTAGCAAATGTTTCTCTGCTTGAAGGCAGTAGTCAACAGCCGCCTAGTTCCTATATTATGGAAATCAGCAAACTAGACAAAGGTTGAGGCAAGTGTGAACAAGCTTCAAACATGTAACACAAGAATGCCACACATAAATTTTACTTTTGTGATGCAACTAGCAGCGACTGACTTTCGAGTCTGTATTCAACCAAGTACAGCTGATTGAAGGACCCTTCAAAAAAAATATTTGATTGGCACAGGGTGAAGCAAAAAGAGTGCTGATTGTACCTAACGTGGTAATCCTGAAAGTTCTCTGTAAATAATTGAGTCAAAGCATTCTGGTTTCCATAACAACTCTGTGTACTGGTTCCCCAGCAGTATTTCTAATCCCACCCCGCGTACAGAACATTATCCACCTGCACCAAGGAGATGAATGTGTGGCTTTCTCCTTCCATCTCTGCATAATGGAATCTGCTGAGTAGCCACACAATATAGTTGCTATTTCTTGTAGTCCTTGCCTTTACGCTATTTAGAACAGTTTACCATTGTTATCTCCTTCAGCCTGATTTAGTGTTGGTGGAAAATATCCCACTCAGTAAATGAGAGAGTATATTGAGCACCATTTTTCAAGCATATAGAAAAAGCATTTTATTGAAACTTAAGGCTTTAATATCTGGGTTTTTTTTTTGTTGTTGTTGTTGTTGTTAAGTGCTGTGGAGTCAGATCTGACTCATATCCACCCTGTATTGGGTTTCTGAGGAGCAATTTGTGGGTTTGAACTGCCAACCTTGTGGTTCACAGGCCAGTGCTGATCCTACAGTGCCACACCAGGCTATTTATTATATCTGATCATTTTTCCATGTATGTGAATCTTGTCTTCTTACTGAAATTCCTACTATCCTCGGTCAGAGTCCTCATTTTGCACTACTTTTTATTATTTAACAAAAAATGTTTATGGGGAAAATATAATATATAATAACAAAAAAAAATGTCATTTAACCATTTTTAAGTGTACAGCCAAGTCGGTGTGAACCACAAGGATGGTGGTTCAAACACACCAGTCGCTCCTCAGAAACCCTATCTATACAGGGTCTCTATAAGTCAGAACCAATGCGAGGACATTTAATAATAACAAAAACAACTGTACAATTCAGTGGCATTAATTACGTTCACCATGTGGTTACTACCATAATCGTTATCTGTTTCCAAAAGTTTGTCAGCATCCCAAACATTCTTCAGCTATGACTCTCACCTTTTTCCACCCCTAGCTCCTGCTGCTGCTATCCTGTATAAAGTTTCTGAGGATGTAAATCTTTTTTTTTTTTTTTTAACTTTTTAT